CCACCACCACCACCACCACCACCACCGGCTGGCCCCCAATTTTGAAATTTCTGAGGAGTTGTTATACTGTTCCTTAGCTTCCCAATATTCTTTTACTTTACTTTTAGATGTGAAACTATTTTTTAATCAATTCTGAGACTTATGACTATGATTCTACTTTAGTCTAGGTAATAGTCTTAGATTATGATGTTTTCAGAGACTGTCTGGTTTGGACTGACTTAGAGTCCCTCTCTGATGTTCTGCATGGTATGAGTGACCTGTACAAGAAAAAGAAATTCTGAGAAACCAAAGCCAGAATCAAAACATAAAAAAACATCATTATAAAAATAAATAAATAAATAAAAAGTGTTCTGGGTTCAGAACCCCTTACTTCACCTATTCAATTACCATGGAATTCTCTCAGTCCTTTTTCTAAAGAAAGAAGTTTATCTGAAAATTCTTCTGCCCGCTTTTTGATGGCAGAACTGATAGGCTTTTCAATCCAGAACTTCTTCCGGGGATACCTAGAAAGAGTAGAATCACAGTAGAAACCATCACCACCAATACACGGGCAAGCACAAACCAATGATGGATGAGAATGAAAGCTGCATATCCCCAAGGTCAGTTCCAACATCAAAGAGTAAGATAATACAGTAGCCTCCCCTCCCATCCCAATTAATGGTCTTGCTTTCTACAAGTTCAGTTACTTCTGGTCAAAATATTAAGATATTTTGAGAGAGAGACAGCCTGCAGTCACATACGTTTTTATTATTTATTTAATTTTATTTGTTACTATTATAATTTTTTTTTATTTCCTATAGGGAGACAAAGAGAAAGAGAGAGGGAAGGAGAGAGAAAGTGAGAAAGTAAGCTGCCAGTTCTGGGACACAAATCATAGTGTACCATGTGGGGGTCTAGCACATTAACTACCATGCCACCTGCTAGCCTCTCACATTAACTTTTATTACAGTATATTGTTACAGTTGCTTTGTTTAATTTTTAAAAAGTTGACATAGGGCACATGCATTTTCCAGAGAAAGAGAAACAGAGAGAGAGGGAGAGAGAGAAAATGTAGAAGGTTATATATTAGATTTTATATATAAACAACTGTTTATTTTGTTTTTTAAATCTTAATATGGTTGTTTTTATAAATTTGTTTGTTTTTTTATGAGGAATTAATTTGTGTTAGTCATATAAAAAACTATATTTGGGATGACATTTTTGTTAATTAGTTTAAAACTTGTTTAACAATGTAACTGTTTACATAAAAACCCCACTTTTTTCAAAAATAATAAACCTACTTGATTCAGCTTCTATAACTTACATAAAAACCCCTAGTAACTGATCCCCTATAAAAAGACTACTCGAACTTCAATCAAGGCTACGGTTCTGACTCTTGGCCCCCGAGCCTCAGGCTGTAGTCACTGGCCAGCTAATAAAGACTCCCTTTAAACTTAATCCGGCTTTGGTGGTTGTTCATTTGGTGACACTCTACATTTGGAGGCCCCAATGAGATTTGGGAACCTTAGAGTGGCCAAATAACGCCCCAACGAGGTTGCTCCTTACACCCTGTCCCGGGTCCCAAGATGGGTAAGAAAGCCTCACAAACATAGATCAAAAATTGGAGTCACTGGTGGTCCCTGAATCTGGTAAGATTCTAGTTATCTTAGTTTGAGAGCTCTCCTGGTGGGACCCTAGGAGGGCAGGACGAAGAGGAACCTCCAGGTCCCTGGGCCTGAGTGTGACAGCACTTTGGGTCCTTGGTAACAGTGATTTCTGGGTACACTGTCTTGCTTTTTCTCGCCTTTGCCACCCTTGTCTTCATCAAAATGGACAGGGCTAGTCGTCAGTCTGTTCATCAAAATGTGCCCCCCTTAGCTATTTTCTAAATCACTTTCAAGACTTTCGACACCAGGCCAAGGGTTATGGTGTAATCTCTGTGAATTGCCTTATTAGTATCAAAGTAACCCCAGGGAAATTAGCTCTTATAGTCCTGATGTGTGTGTGCATCCATGTCATGTTACATGCTATATGTTGTATGTCTGTATAAAAAAGGCCTTAAAAATTCTATTCAATTTGGTTTATAAGAACAACACTCATAAAAATTGGTTTAAATACTTTTCAAGTTCATATAACTTTAATAAATAATCTAGTTTCAAATATAATTAAAAAATAAGAAGTAAAACTATTCATAATTTCCAACATATATTTTGTCTAACAACATCATGTTTATCTTAATATGGTTGGTTTAAAAAAACAACTAGTACTTATGTGTTGTATGTTGCTTTGGCTGTTTTTAGTTTTACTGCTAACAAAAGATCTTTGACCTCAAAATAACTCTTAGATGTTTACAGAGAGCCCCTAAAACATCCAAAAGAGAGATGTTAAACTGATCAGACTTATTCTTTATATGTTAAAGATAAAAAAAAAAATTGTCAAATTAAATAATTCTAATTTCCTTGACATTATATTTAAGTTATATATAAAAATATGTTATGTACTTATATGTCTATATATGTATTGTATTCCAAAATAATTTGAGAGTCCTAAAAATTTATGATTAAATATTTACCAGTCATATAAGTTATTATGTTAAACTGATATCTAGCCAAATTTCTTTGTCAGTTATAAATTTTTGTTAAAACATTAACTGACTATAATCCTAATGTTATGTCTGTTTAAAAAAATTCACAAAGAGAGTAAAACAAAAATTTACTCTTACAAATACCAGTTTCTAAAAATCTAATTATTTAACTGAGTAAAATTTCCATTTTCAAGGCCGACCACAGTTCGAGTCCCAGACTTGACGGCTTCCTTTCTCCCTTTCCCTCTCTCTCTCTCTCTCTCTCTCTCTCTCT